TAGTAATGATTAAAGGTAAATTAGGTATAAAATGTTAGACTCACAAAGATAAGATAAATAATAGAACATTGTCTCTAATTTTGCCAAATACAGATGGACTGAATGTTGTAACTGCAATTCTTACTTAATAAATGTTTTGTTTTATATATAGCTGTACCTTGTTAAGGTTAAAACCTTTCTTTTTAATTAGACAAAAGTGGGTAAATGCTGTGAAATAATCCTTCTGTACACTGCGAATATATATTATTCTGATTGTTTACTAAAGAAGCTAATTGGCCAGTGACTGAACAGGATGAAGTTAGACAGGAAATCCAAACTCAGAGAGCTGGGAGGAAGAAAGGCAGAGTCAGAGGAGACACCAGCAGACACAGAGGAAGCAAGATGTGCAGAAAATAAGGTAACAAGCCATGAGTCACATGACAGAGGGTAGAAAAGAAATGAGTTAATTTAAATGTAAGAGTTAGCTAAACAAGCCTGAGCTATTGGCCAAGCATTTGCAACTAAGCCTCAGTATGTATTTGGGAGCTGCTGGTGGGACAGAAACTTCTGTCTACAGAACTCACCTTAAACAGCATTCAAAATAGTTCCTGGGTGATCCTAACTATGTTTGTCCTTCAGTTTTGTTCACAGCCAAGTGTCACATGCTAGGTAGTCCATGACAAAAGGACTGATGTTAGTCTGTGATGACTTCTCTATGAGCACCCACGACAGAACACAAGGGTGCAAGCACCTCTTTAAGTATACTTAATTTTTTAAAATTACATTTATGGGGATTGGACAGACGACTCAGCAGTTAAGAACACAGGCTGGGGTTCAATTCTCAGCACCCACATAGCAACTCAAAACCTAAAATTCTAAAGCCCTCTTCTGGCCTCTGCCGGCACCAGACCCTCAAGTGGTACACAGACTTATATACAGGTAAAAACACCCATACACTTAATAATAAATTTAAATTATATTTATGTGTTATGTGCGCTCACACACTGTAACACTGAGGTCACACACTGTAAGACCAAATTCAGGTTGTCAGGCATGGTGACAAGTGTCTGACCTGCTGAGTCATCCCATAAGGCTTGCAGACTCTTTAAAGGTGTCTTAACCTCATTAATAAAGGGGGAACTCTAATGGCCTCATCTCTTAAAGAACCCATTACCATGTTGCTTGAACTGGGGTAGAAAGTCTCCTTCAAAACACAGCCGTAATTACTAGAAGAAAATTAGAAACACTGAATATCCGTAGTTTTATTAATAATTTACATATTTGAAGAAATTATTAACAAAACAAATTGTCAATTTTTTTTAAAAAAGTCACACAAAAGGAAACAATGGAAAATATTGCTTTCAGGTTTGTTATGAACAATTTCACTGGGATGTGGGAGCTGCAGGCAAAGACCGCTTGCTTGTTCCCAGCTGCCCAGACCCGAAATAACTACACAGAAACTATATTAATTACAACACTGCTTGGCCAATAGCTTAGGCTTCTTTTTAACTAACTCTTACATCTTAAATTAGCCCATTCCTATTATTTTGTGTATAACCACAAGGCTTGTGGTTTACCGGCAAGGTTCCGGTGTTTCTGTCTCCTTCGGTGGCTACAGGGCGTCTCCCTGACTCTGCCTTTTTTCCTCCTCTTTTTACTTGGAATTTCTGCCTTACTCTATCCTGCTCTGCCATAGGCCAAAGCAGTTTTATTCATTAACCAATAAAAGCAACACATATACAGAAGGACTTCCCACACCAGGGAGCCAAGTTTATTAAACTGAAAAATAAAAATTTAAATGTCTTTGGAACCTAGAGCTTTAAAAATAGCCTGTGAAAATCCCGCCTTGGGGGGGGGGCCAAGGTTCAAATAAGTCATGCTTTTTTTTTATTCTTACTGTTACAGACTTAATGGCATTCATTGGTGGGGACACATAACTTCTTGCATGGATTAGACACCAAGGGACTAACCTGAGCATATAAACTAGAAACGGAGATGAATGAGCTATAAAGTACTACATTACTGAACTACTTAACAGGCAAACTGTGCACACGTCCTCGAAGCCAGAAAGCAGAGCTAATAAAGACTGGTCTTCTTCATCATCCTCAAAAACTCTTCCTCGTTAATCTCTCCGTCACCATCACGGTCGGCTTCATCGAGCATTTCCTGTAACACGAAACGTGACACGGTAGCCGGAAACCACTGAAAACACATAACGATGGAAACGCGGCGAGAATTTTTGCTTGACTGTGTCAGTTCAACTAAGCTACACAAAACGTGTGAAATCACACACACACACACGTCATAATTACAAAGTAAACAAGATTTACCTGCAATTCTTCTTCTGTTACGTTTTCCCCCAGTTCCTTGGCGACCCTCTTGATGTTATTCAGTGATATGGTGCCAGTAGCGTCGTCATCAATTAATTTAAAAGCCTTCAGGATTTCTTCTTTCTCATCCTTTTCATTCTTTAGGAAACGAAATGTCATTGGTTAATTTGTTTATTTGTTCTATCACGCTGGACTTAGTAGGTCTGTAATTCTAGAGCTGTATGTGCGTATTTGTAGCAGGAGGCTGAGTTCTCAGCCTAGAGCTCTTTCACAATTATTCCGACGAGCCCACACCCGCCGTTGAAGCACATAAGACAGCAAGCTTATCCAGGGCTGTTTTCAGGGGCAGTGGCAAAAGTGGGCACTCAGTGATTGCCAGGGACAAGGTTTCAAGTTTGGGCTCCTTCCATTTTGCCCTATGTCAGTATTTCCCGAGAGAAGTCTTCTCTACGGTCTTTACCACCCTGAAAACATCCGTTCTTGCAGTGTTATCATATCCCACCCACCCGTGAGCACCCATTTCCAACCCCTCCATGAAATCTCTATGTTCCATACCCAGACATGCATAGGGCTCTGAGAGCATTTCTTTGAAAAGTAGAGTGACTATACCATTTTCACACTTATAATGGCAAAAAAATCTTCAAAACAAATCGTGCCAGTCCCTTCTTTGTCGATTTCTGCTATCATTTGTCTAATTTCTTCTTTCTTTGGCTCAAATCCTAAGGCCCGCATTGCAATCTGCAACAGGAAGGGAATTTATTTTAATATGCCGTGATCTCATTTTGAGCTTTTCAGTTACTAATTAATAGCTTCTTTGTTCTCTAACAAAATCTGAGCATAGAGCCAACCCTACTGTGGCAGAGTACACAACCTTGATTATTCTGGGTCTTGACGTACCCATCAACCAAGGGCACAACTAAAACGTTAAAAGATACTGTGTTGTTGACTCAGGGCAGGTAAACATACATACTTTCCAGAAGACTGCCGTTAAGGTGTAAAGAGTACCACAGATACAGGTTATGGGCAAGCCTAGTGGGAGAGCCCTGGGTTCCATCCCCACAAGCCAAACACACACACACACACACACACACACACACACACACACACACTCACACACGTGGTTTTTCAAATGTCCTGAAAATAATTCCAGAACCTTCAGCTCTTTCACATCTATGGTCCCAGACCCATCCACGTCGAATAAGTCAAAGGCCTCTTTTATTTCTCTTTTTTGGTCATCACTCAATTCTACTTTTGCTGCTTTTTTCTTCCATTGGTCTAAAGTTGTTCGATAGCTGGATGCCTGCAATAAGCATACAAGTGGATGGAAACTATATTACTACAATGTGCAAATTCAAGTATCCCATTCCCTCCTATAGAATGAGCTTCCCCCCCCCACCTTGTTAATGATTGTGGTTACTAATATCTTTTTTTTTCCCGTCTTTTGAGACAAGGTTTTCCTATGGAGCCCAGACTGGCTTGGAACTCTCAATCCTCCTGCCTAAACCCCCTAGGTAGGGTTATTAATCTCTTGATTGAAAGTGTGGTGTTATTTCTTTATCATTTAGATTTTCCTCATAAAACCAGAGCCTCTGAAGAGAGAAGCAGCAGCTAAGGAAGACAGCACAGGACTGTGTGGCGTTGTCTCACAAAGCAGTTAGTCTCAGTTTATCGGAAAAGTATTAACTTGAGGAAGGTGTGCTCACATATGTAGCACAGTGTTTGCCAGAGGAATGTTTACGAGAACACAGTTATCACCCCCTACTCTCCACTAGCAAGGGTCCTACGCTACAGAAGCCCAAAAGTGAAAAACCATGGTTTTGGTGAACAGCCACTCCACAGATCTGGATGAGAATGTTTGGTTTAATGATGTGGAAGTGAAGGTCCTTCTGCTGTTTGCTTCATTCTATCACCAAGCAGGGCCACAGAACCACTATAGATTCTTCTTTCTGCAGGCGGAAGTGAGAAAGTCCTGGAAGTGACTGTGGATCTAAGTGGCCTGCTTTATATTAGTTATTTGCTGTGGATTCTTGGTTCTAGAGCTGCGAATTTTGATGAGTAGTCTTCTTAGATCCTAGGGCAGCCATCTGAGTCTGCCTTTTCTCAGAAGTCAGTGGTCCCTTATCTGTGAGTGGCCTGAGTTGGTGGAACCCTGACCATCAGGACTGAGTCAATGGCCCCTTCCCATCTGTCGTTGAGTTGATGGCCCACTGGCTGTTGGTGGCCCCGCATTCTTGCATCCCTATCTTGAAGCTCCTCAATTTGGGCACCGGCCCCTGTGTCTCCCGGGCGGTGTATCTTTATGTGGACCATTCCTATACACTACTGGCATTGAAGGATAAACGAAAAGGGGGACCTATCTCTGTCCTCTGTCCTCTGTCCTCTGTCCCCAGGGCATCCAAGGATCCTGGCACGAAAGTCAGAAAACTGGGAAAAACACCTGAGTCCCGCAGCACTCACCATGACCCCAACCCGCTCCCCAGCCTGAGCCAGGGCAGCCCAACAGCCACCCTCCCTTTCCTGGCTGGCGCTGGGGGCGGGCCGTTGCTAAGGGCGCGCAGGGTGCGCAGGCCCTCCCACTTGCTCCCGTGATTGACGGGCATTGCGCCCAATGGAAAGGAACGAGTGCTTTGCTCGCAAGCCGCCGCTGGCCTGGCTGGGTTCCGGCGCTGTGTGGAGCGGCGCGCGGTGAGGATGGTCGTGGGCCCCTCGGGCCGGAAGGGCAGGGAGGGTGGGAGCGAGAGCCCTGGCTCGCGTGCCCTCAGACCCTCCGCACACTGGAGCAACCGTCCCACGGCCTTCCCGCCTCAGAGCCGCTCGAGGGACGCGGCGGCGTGAAACCCGAGGTGCTGCGTGGCGCTCGCAGACGGGGACGGGGGTGGTGCTCGCCGCGCGGAGTCCTCGCGGGGTCCCCGGGGACCGAGGGTGGCTAGAGCCAGGCTTTCTCCTCGGCGGGAGAATGCGAAGCAATCGCTTCCTAGTGTCCTGAGTAAAGCAGGCACATTTCCCCCCAAAGCCGCCGTCTCACCTCGCAGACACAGGTTGTAGTCTTTAAATCTCTCCTTGGTCTTCTGGGGGAATAGGTAAGTTTATCCTGATATTAGAAGCCATTTTTCCCGTCTTAAGTTTTCTCAGTGTGAATTCAGATGATGCAAATTCAAAATATTTTGTGAATGAGGTAGTGTTAAGTCATTTAGCTGTAATCCATTTGTATCTCATCTGGAAAGTTGCCAAGTTTTCAAAGTACTATTTAACACTAATTTTAAAAAAAAACTTCTGAAACCCAAAAGCGAATATATATATATATGATATATATCACATATATATCATATATATATATATATGAGCACATGTGTACATATATGTACATATATTACTTATATACAAATAATATATATATATGACTGTTACAGTTAAACAAATTTTAGATCACTATGCTTTAGGAATTTGGATATTCTAGTTTTAAATTTTATTATTATTTTTCGAGACTGGGTTTCACTATGAAGCTCTGGTTATCCTGGAACTCACTAAGTAGACTCAGACTCAAAGAGATCCACCTGCCAGTACACCCAGCTTAAAAAAAAAAAAAGTAATGCTAAGTTCAGATTCTAATTTCTAGATCTTGATTAGGATACCCCAGTCTTGAAAAGTGACCATTCTCTTCTGTACATAAAACTTTAATAATAGCTAAGCAAGATAGTAAAGCCATACTGAAAGACTTGGATAAATCCAGACCCCTCTAGCAGAAAATAGAAAATATAGAGCCAAAAATCTAAACAGGGAGAGAAGAATCAAAAATCTAGATGAGCCGGTCAGTGACTCTGTTTCAGGAACTAGCTGAAGATAAAATTAGATTATAATCTTGAGAAACAGGGAGTTACCCCCTTGTGATTATCACTGGTATTTTTGGAATTTTTCAATGATCACTGGTATTTTTGGAATTTTCCAATGACGCCCTCCCTACCCCCTTTGAATGGTTTCTTCCCTTAAATACTCTTTCTCCCAGTTACTCGGGGTGGAACGCTCTACCCCTGCGTGGGAGATGAATTTCGGCCCCAGTGCACTGGTTCCTGTCCTGTCAATAAACCTCATGTGATTGCAGCAAGGATGGTCTTTCGTGAGTTCCTGGGGGGTCGTGTTAGCCTGAGACTTGGGTGAGAGTCCCTCCGCTCTGGAGGACTTTCCGTGCGCATTATTAAACTACTGAATTTACCCAGTGTATTCTACCTGTCATGTGCCATGATGGCTACTGGTGAGCTTGAAAAAACTTAGTAAAAAGTAGGTGTTTACTTTGGAGCAGTTGATCATTTAGTTATGTTTTTTGTTTTTCCCAGAGACAGTTCTAATTATCATTTGAAGGAGGAGGCCCCTTTAAAAGCAATCAAAGGGCCCCAACTAAGGGATCCAAAGTTACTTGAAACATCCTTTTGCGCCTTTAATATTTATACTCAACTTTGGGATGAGCTGGCACTTGCCAAATGTTTGCTGAATGCTATGCTAAGTTGTCAGCAGTGTTCTAGATACCGGGAATGTCTCAGTGACTAGAATTGTCATCTGGAAAATCATGTCAACAGAAAACACTGGCCTGTGCATCATAAATGTACAGTGCTCATTTTGTAAAGTTTCAGAGAAGAAGAGGAAAGTTTATCTCCTTAGTACAGATAAGCAGTATCTGGCATATGGAAGGGAAAAGGTTTGTGGTTTGTAATAGGTTGACCAGGATAGACTTCCCTGAAAAGAAAATTTGGGGAAGCATTTCAAGATAGTTAAGGCAGTAGATTTCAAGATAGTTAAGACATGTAGAAATCCTGAGGTAGGGAACATGCCTTACATATTCTGAAAGCACGCAGGAGGCCTGAGCAGGGCATAATAGATAAGTCGGGGAGGAGGAAGCGTGGGTCTTGGTGCTGTGAGGACATGGCCTTTACTTGGAGTGAGTGAGGGAGACTCAGATTCTAGCGTAGAAGGGGTGTGACTCCCTTTCATGGGAGCGCCGGTGCTGGACAAAGGGCTGAAGACTATTCTGAGAGCTTCCAAGCAGGAGATGTTGTGGTTAGACTGCTGTGTTAGCTGTAGACTGGAGGTGAACAAACTTGGCCCTGATGATGAAAATTCTAGTTACACCCATCAAGAAATAAAGTCGAACCCCTGAAAGGCATGCCCAAGTGTTCTAACCTGAATATTTAGACAAGGCGAGGTACAGTCTTTCGAAAGAAGATTTCTGAAGTCAACGTCCCAGTTAAATCATCTGATTCTTCCTCTCATTGCAGATAAATTAAGGAAACAGTATTCTGACATTGACCTGCTTGTGGAGGCATCAGTGCAGGGCACCGCAGGATGACAGTCGGGTTGTGGTGGTGCAGTGCCGAGAACAGTTACCAGAGGTATTTAATCACTTTTGAAATCGCCCGTCTTTTCATCCTCTTCACTGTTACCGTCTTTTTATTCCCAGCCTTATTTTGAGTTTGTGTTAGTGATTAGCCCATTGCAACCTCTTCAGAACCATTTAGGACTTCTTCCAAAGTTAGGACTGCTAAGGCAGGTTCTTCAGTTACTGCTCAAACTGGAAATAGATTCAAATGCTAAAAGACCTCTTTTGAGTATTAACTTTGATATCTGTTATATATGACTTTTTCCTTGTAGATGGTTGAGATCTATCCTGTGTCTGGACAAACCTTTGTAACATAATTCCAAACAGACTGAGTTTGAGATACCTATGGGTTTTTCCTCTTGTTCCAGATAGTTTTCCACTCAGAGAGCAGTGTCTTTAATCGTGATCTAGAAAGAGACCATAAGCAGAGCTCCATCACAACCCCCACCCCCGTAAAAGACATAGACCCCAACAAGGCAAGGGTCTTCACAGGGCTTCAAAGGCATAGACTGCGGTGAGGCAAGGGTCTCCACAGGGCTTCGAAGCAGTCAGAGGATTTGAAAGAGGAAAACGAAGAGTCTAAAGAAGAGAGAATGAGTTGGGATGAAAGTGAAGCAAAATGTAGCTGGTGCAGGAATTGACAGTGTAAACTTGGACCGTGGTTACAGGGGGTTACCCTTTTACTTAATGTGAGGAGATTTTACCCATTGTACCCAATATCATGCTTCATTTTCCACAAATAGGTTAATTATTTTAGTATCAACCTTATATTTTTGTTGTGATTTTATTTATGATATGTTTCAAGCATTTTATCCAAGGTAAACTCAAATTTTGTTAGCAGTGAAAAACTGCCAGACTTTTTAAACTTGTCCTTTCAACAAATTTTTCTCCATCAACTGCATATTCATGAAGGGAGAAGTAGACCACTGTCCCCAAAAATCAGATTATGGAAAATTATAAATATAAAGAAAAGAACAGTATTTAAAACAGAAATTTCCTGGCTTCAGAACTTAATTGAAAGTTACAGCTTTTGCAACAATGTGGTGTTGGCATAAAATGATTACATCCTCCAGTGCGATTGCATTGACAGCCCAGTAATAAATCCACGTATGTATAGCAAGTTCATTTTTGATAAAGGTACTAAGAACATACAAGAGAAAAAATAGTTCATTTAACAGGAGGTACTGAGACACCTGGAACCCCCGCCTCACACCATATGCAAAAGTTAGTCTCAAATCAATCAGTAAGCTAAATAAAGGATAGACCTCTGAAGAAAATACTGGGCTAAATATGTATCGCCTTGGATTTGGCAATGGATTCTTCATATAACACCAAGAACATGAGCAACAGCATCCACAAATAAGTGATAAATTTTACCAACACTAAAAGAACAGTATTTGAAACAGAAATTTCCAGGCTTCAGAACTTAACCGAAAGTTACATGTTTTTCTGAGTGAAAGAGCATTATCAAACAGCAGAGGTGTCCTATAGAACAATAGATTGTATGCAAATCAGATAGCATAGCCCGTCAGCGTCCATAGGGGAACGGTTCTAAGATTCCGTTGTAGAAAAAAGTCCACACGTACATAAGTGATTTACATAAAATGGTGGAGTACTTAAATCTAGCCTACACACATACTTAGGTATATATTATCCTTAAAATTAATATAATAAGAAACTAAGAAAATAGTAACACTAGCTTCATAGTTGTTATAATACATTGCTTAAGGAATGATGACAGAATATAAGTTACATGTTCAAAACAGATGCAGTTTATTTTTGTGTTCTTCAAACACTGTCTGATTCGTGGTTGTTTGGATCCACAGGTGTGAGGTTAGCTGTTGTTTCCTGAGGGTTTGCTCTCTGATGCGTAAAGAATGCTTGCAACTCAGCAACAGAAATCTTTTAAAGCCCGCTCTTAAAATAGGCAGAGAACTTCAGTCGGCATTTCTCCAAAGCAGACAGACACATGTTCTAGGCCCATGAAAAGATGTTTAATAGCATTAGTCATTAGGAAAATGGAAGTCAAAACCACAATGAACTCTTTTCACATCTGCTAGTGTGTAGGGGTCGCCGTTCGCGCCATCCATCTTCCGTGAGTTCCATATTGTCCTAGGGGTTGAAACACAAGACGCACACACACAGATACAGAGTTCGTTCCAGTCATCCTCAAGAAGAGAATGCCCAATTTATTTAACTTGATCCAGGGTTAAATACCTTTGGCCCTAGTAAAGGAAAACTCCTCCCACCCAGAGGGGGCTGGGGAAACTGGCCTCTGTGGGAGCTTCTCCCCAGGCAGGTGGTCAAGGGTTCAAGGCAATGTCAGACAGGTTAGATGGACCTTGGCCCTGAGCTTCTTTTAGGCAGGTTGGGAAATTACCATTTTAAAGCAATATAGATCCCTTAGGCTAATGTACCAGGCTGTAGCAAAAACAAGGACAAAACTTAGCAAAAAGCTTAGCTGGTTAGCATAAACATTACTTGCATCCTGTGTTTTGGCCTCAAGAAACAGGGAGGACAGGGCCCTACACTAGTGTGTTTAAAATCTGACAAAAGCAGAGTTGTTGAACATACTAGTGACTGAATAGTGCTGTCACACACGAACACGCAAAACTCATACCCACCCAGAATGTGGTTTTGTTTGAAAGTAGTCTTTGTAGATGCAATTAGTTGAGATGAAGTCATACTGGGTCAGGATAGGCTGTAAGTGCAATAACTGGTGTTTTAATTAACAAAGAGGACAATTGAAGCAGCCAGATATTAAAGTTATGCAACCAAAAGCCAAGGAATGCCAGGAGCAACTAGGAGTTGGAAGAGAAAAAAAAAAGTATCCTTCCCTGGAGTCCTGAGAGAAAGCACCGCCCTGCAGTGCCGTCCTCTCGCGAGTATGACTGTATTGTAGCCTCCTGTAATCTGGAGTAGCAGCCCAGGAAAACTAATACAGTAAGAATGTGGAGAAATCAAAACCTTTGTCCATTGCTACTGGCAATGCTCTTCTGTTTGGGAAAACATCTGGGCAGTTCCCTAAGCTAAACATAGAGTTACCAAATGACCCAGGAGTTTTACTTCTAGATTTATAGCTGAAAGATCTAGAAACAGGTTCAAAAATGTACGTGTACAGAAAAGTTCACAGCAGGTGAAGCACACAAGCTCAGTAGCTAAAAGGTGGAAACACCCAAATGTGTAGCAGTGGTAAATAGGTGTATAAAATGTGGTACCTACCAAGGAATATTATCCCACTAAGTGAATTATTGTTAAGTAATAAATGTGGAAGAACTCCAAAAATATGCTAAATAAAATGTAGAAAGGTCACATGTTTCATGATTCCTTTTATATAAAATACCAAGAATAGGTCAAAATAGACTGCAAGTAAATTAGCGATTACCAGTTATAGAAAGAAACAGAGTTACTGCTTAGCAGCTTTCAGATTTTCTTTTGTGACTGTTAAATCTTTTGGAGCAAGATAGAGGTGGCAGTTATATAACATTGTGGATGTGCTAAATCTAAATTGTATTCTTTAAGTTAAGGTCGCTTCATTTTATCAAGATCAGTAGCCTTTCAAGGTAAGTAAGATGAAGTCAGAGAGTCAGAGGATTGAAGGATATGATCAATAGAATGATTGAAATCATTGACAAATAGAATTAGAGTTTAGTAGGGAGATGATAGTACAGGGGAAGGAAGTGAAGGACAGAAAAAGTAAGGCCAGATAGATACGATGAATCTAAGGATTGCTCAAGTTGAGTCCGAGGGTATATTTTAATATCATGTTTTGATCTTATCAAGGAATATGTGTGAGTATATTGTAACTGTTTGTTATATAACACAGAAAATTTCATTGAAAAAAAAAGGACTTGGGAGTAAGTTCATATAATGCCATAATTATTGCAGGGCCTGCCCATCCTTTCTACTTTTGTTAGTCCTTGAAAGCCTGTAGGAAGCTGTTCTGGAGTAATAAAACCTGTGCTCCAGCCTAAAAGCTGTGTGGACTGGAGCACGCTTCCCTTCACAGATGAGTGTCGCTAGTTCAGAAACAAAGTTACCAGAGTTACGATCCGTATTAGAACAAGATTCTGATTAAAAATTTTCAAAGAATCGTGAAAGCCTTATAGTGTCATCTAGCTTCAGTTCCTCACCTAATGGAGTTCACACCTCCTCAGGCAGTAGTTTTATTGTAGATGGTTTTTCAGTTAGAAAGTACCATTGTTACCTGGGTACACACCTTTAATCCTAGCTTTAATCCCAGCACTCAGGGGGCAGAGGCAGGCAGATCTCTATAAATTTGAGGCCAACCTGGTCTTCAGAATGAGTTCCCAAACAGCCAGAACTACACAGAGAAACCCAGTCTCAAAAAAACCAAAAGAAAAAAAATTTAAAAAAAATTAAGAAAGCACCATTGTTTAAAAACTTTTTAGTATTGAATAATCTTTCTCTTGATGATACTCATTTTGGAGGTGACTTCTAAAATATTATCTTGAATAATTCCAATGGCCTTTGGATTTCCCTTTAAATAGTACCCTTTTTTCTTCATAATGTAATCAATTCCCAAATCTTTCTCCCCATTATCTGGCTTCATAATTTTAGAAGATTAAGTGGCTGTTTTCCTTTGAGTCTGGTACTTAGCTAGTCAGTCAAACTTGCAAGTGAAAGACTCCCTCGTGGGCGTCTTCCCTCGGGAAAGACCCCGTGCCCAAAGATCAGTCGAAAACACGCAGCCGGATGCAAACAGCAGGAGGTTTATTGGTGGATACACAGGTACCTGGGCGACAAGTCTCTCGAAGAACTTGCGCGCCTGCAGGTTGGGGATGAGGGGTTTTTATAGGGGAGCAAAAGCGCGGGTACAGAAGCAGAAAAGCTTTCATTTCATTGGTCAGTTCAAATAAGGCTAAGCTGGGTGGCACATTCTTGACCTTTTACCTAAATACCAAGGAGGGGGTTGTCCAGACCCACCTGGATACCAAGGAGGGGGCTGTGCTACCTGTTTTTCTTATCTCTTCCTGCCTTCCTAGCTTGGCTGGCGACTAGATGTCTGATTTGCACAGCCCCTGACTCGTGAGAGGCCCGCTCTGTACGTGACTCAGGCCTCGCAATCCTCTCTTCCTCCCTTGAAGTCTTTGTTCCTACTCATGTCAGTTCATAAATCTCCTGTCCTGCTGCCAGATAAGGCTGTCCTCGCTCTAATCTCAGGTGTCTTTGCTTTAGCATTGTGGAGGTCCTGAATTAAGCCTGTTATTTGTTCAGCACTCTGGAGGTCCTGACTCCGGAGGCCTTAATGGAGCTTGCTATCTGAAAACCTTTGCAGAGCGTTATAACTGTGGTTAAAGTTAAAACCACAGTTTTAACTGTGACCCCAATGAAGTTGGGGTCCTTCACAAGGATGGCAGCATAACTGAACATACATAAAACTGTGCTCTCCACTCTTCCGAGCACTGTCTCCTCATGCTAGCTGTGAAGTAGCTTCTGTGATTAGTCTCATTTCCCAGATGTGTAAACTGAAGGGCTAGCTGCCTGTTAGCAGTAGAGCAAAATTCAAGCCCGGGCTCAGGTTTAAAAAGCTTTCAAACGCTACATCAAGTGAGTTCTTATTCTTAACACAAGTGGTTTCCATTATAGAATAAAGCTTATTTCTTAACATAACATGAAATGTGCTCATAACCCAATTCCTCCTCTACTGGAGCCTTAAGTCCTTCAGCTCCTTGCCGTGTACGCCATATTCTCATAATACCAGGCTCCTAGTACACAGTGCTTTTCCTTTTCTTTTTTTCTTTCTTTTTTTAACATAGTTGTACATTCACTACCACCCTCTTGCTCAGTTTGCACAGTTATCCTGCAGATGACATGATGGAACACACCTGTAATTCTAGCACTTTCAAGGTGGAGACAGGGTGATCACAGATTTAAGACCATCCTGTATAGTAAAACCCCGTCTCAAAAGAATCATAGCACAAATGTTTTAAGTCTCATTCTGCAGATTGCCTTCTGGAAACCTTGCTTGTTGCCGGTACTCCTATTTCCTCTCCCTTGTGGAGTGGTCAGCCCTCTCTCCACCACCCTGTCCCACGCCCTTGATTTACTCTTCTGCATCATCACACTGATCACAGTCATTGAAACTCTGTCCAAAAGTGTGAGCTGTGTTTTCTTCTCTTTATAGAGCCCTTGTCATCAGTCACCCAGGAAAGTTTCAAGTGTTGTTTTATTTGCAGATAATTACTCGTGGTGATGGCTTGCAGCATCATAAACAAAAGAAGGCACGTGGGACTTCAGCAGCTTTCATCATTCGCACAAACAGGAAGAAGTTTCCTGGGCCCAGTAAAAGCCACCAAGTTTATTACAGATGCAGAGTGTCATGAAAGTGTGTTAATCAGCTCAACAGTCAGACTTCTTGAAGGTTTGGATTTAACCTGTGCAGTGGGGCAGCTTCTCAATGAAGCAGTTCAAGCACAGAATGGTGCATATAGAATTGGAACCAGCACTCTCTTGTTTCTTGTTGGTGCTTGGAGCAGAGCTGTTGAAGAATGTCTCCATCTGGGTGTTCCCACTACAGTAATAGTGTCAGTAATGTCCGAAGGCTTGAACTCTTGCATTGAAGCAGTAGTTTCCCTTCAAGTACCCATATGCAATGTATTTGACCACATGGACAACTCAAGTATAGTTTACAAACTTGAAACAGTTGATGTCAACTTGCGTCCTTCAGGTCCCGGCTTGTTACAGGAAAAGCGTGATTTCAAAGATGCTACATCTCAGTTACTGTCGTCTTACAGTCTTTCTGGGAGACATGCTGCATCACTCAAATTCTTCAAAACTCAGGCTAAGGTTGAAACGGAAGAAAATATACCACAGACTCTGCGAAACAGCCTGCTTGCAGATTCCTTCTGCAGAAAGTCAGCATTAACTCACAGTAGGCATTTTAATAGGGCAGATAATAGCCACAGGATAAGCAGACCTGATGGATTTCTAGAACAGTGTGGGTCAACTCCCAAAGCTTCTAGGTGTAATGATTTGGTGGAGTTAGCAGTCGGCTTGAGCCATGGAGACCACAGCAGCATGGCATTGGCAGAAGCAGCTGTGAGGCTGCAGTGGCAGAGTGTGTACCTTCAAGACAACTATAAGGCACCATTTATGTTTGATGCATCAAGACTCCTCACTTGCTGTCTCCCCGGCTTACCTGAAGCTTTTTCTTGTGTTTGTTTAGGATATGTCACTGTTGTACCCATGTCTAGTCTTACTCTGATAAAGGAATTGCAGGATCAACCTTTCCGGGTGATTCTCATCGAGGGTGACCTCACAGAGAGTTACCGCCACCTGGGATTTAATAAGTCCGTAAATATTAAGACTAAGTTAGATAGTGGAAAGCTTCCAGAAGATAGTGCAGAAGAACTGTGGGCAAAAAGTGTGTTGCAGGTGTTAACCCAGTTCAATGTGAGCCTCGTCCTGGTACAAGGAAATGTATCTGAACACTTAACTGAAAAATGCTTGCACAGTAAGCGACTGGTGATTGGGTCAGTGAATGGCAGTGTGTTGCAAGCGTTTGCAGAGGCTACAAGAGCAACACCAGTAGCCTATGTTACACAAGTGAACGAAGACTGTGTGGGCTCTGAGGTCTCCGTGACCTCCTGGACAAGTCCTCATGATGTGAACAGGAGCAACAGAATGGCAATCTTGTTAAAAACAGAAAGAATTAATTTGATTACAGCTGTACTCACCAGCCCAGTAAGTGCTCAGATGGAAGCAAAGGAAGACAGATTTTGGTCTTGTGTATATCGTTTATCTCATGCCCTAAAAGAGGAGAAGGTCTTCCTTGGAGGTGGTGCTGTTGAATTTTTATGTCTTAGTCATCTTCAAATTCTTGCTGAACAACCTTTAAATAAAGAGAATAATGCTTGTTCAGGATGGCTTCCTGATTCTTCCTCTTGGATGGCCTCATCTCTGTCCGTCTATAGACCAACTGTGTTGAAGTGCATGGCAAGTGGGTGGCATGAATACCTGTCAGCTGTCATGTGTAACACTGCCACTCGCCCATCAGCAGTGGAAGCCAGCACGTGCATTCAACATCATGTGCAAAAGGCCACCAACTCTGGCTCCCCTTCATCTTATATCTTGAGTAAATACAGTAAACTAAGTAGTGAACTTTTTCATTCAGGTATTTCAGATAACCTGGAGCTAGTTCCAAGAGTTTATGATACTGTTACCCCAAAGACCGAAGCATGGCACCGAGCATTGAACTTAGTGCTCTTAGTGCTTCAGACAGACAGTGAAATAATTACTGGACTTGAACACACACAGATAAATTCACAGGAATTAGATGGAGTTTTATTTTTGTAGGGTTAGCTAAATCTTTGGGAAATAAGCAATATCGTTTTAATAAATTTTAAGGTGTGTATGTGTGGGAGCTCGTGTACATGCATGTGCATGTCCAAGGAGGCCAGAAGAGGGCACAGGATCCCCTGGAACCACAGTTGGAGGTTTATAAACTGACCAGTGTTGGTGCTGGGAACCCAACTATGCAAGGGCAGCAAGCACTCTTAACCTTTTGGCCATTTCTCCAGTTGTAATACATATTTATAGTCAGATCATAGCATCTAAATTATTAGCAATTGCCAAGAATGAGTTGATGTCTATCAATAGCTACAGTTCTGAATTTTGCCCTATTTATAAGCTAACAAATTAGCTTTTTTACAGGTGCTACAGGATACACCTAGATTAGAAGCAGAGCGCTTTTGCCAACCACAGCAGAATCTGCATTCAGAGTATTGTGTTGGTTTTATCAGTTCCTTGGCTTTTCTGTCCCCCAAGAGCAGCACAGAGGGCCAGTGGCAGGACCTGGAAAATGCTGAACGTGTGTGATATTTACTGCTAAAGCAGAAATAAATCCGCTTACTTGTCCAACAGGAATGATTACATCCTTCAACAGTGCTTACGTCAAACCAGACATGGACATGGACTAGCTAAAGATTGGTCAAGCCCTTATATTTTTGCATCTATAGTAAGTATAAAGATGCTGTCTCAGTTACTTTTCTATTGCTGTAATAAGACAGACCAAGGCAACTTATAAAAGAGTTTAATTTGGATTTGTGGTTCAGAGAGTTAGAGCCCATGATGACAGAACAAAAGCATGGTGGCAGTGACGTCTGTGAGGTCACATCTTGGTCCCCTAAGAGGTGGGGAGTTGAGGGGATAGTGCAGAGACATCTGTGAGCTCACATCTTGGTCCCCTAGTAGGAGGTGGGGAGTTGAGGGGATAGTGCAGAGACATCTGTGAGCCTACATCTTGGTCCCCTAGGAGGAGGTGGGGAGTTGAAGGGATAGTGCAGTGACCTCACCCAATGTAACACACCTTCTCCAAAAGGCCACATGTTCCAGACCATCCCAAATACTTCCACCATGCCTGCCTTCTTTCCATTATTCTGTAAGCACATCTTTAGAGCACTGTCTTAGTCTTTTTAGTCTTTCATCCTCAATCCCCACAGTATAATCATTATTAACATTTAGGGGATGGTTTTCTAAGGCTTCTTAAATTTATATGTCTGTGTAAATACATTTTGATACGGTGACATCACTGTATGTAGTGACATTTCAACTGTATTTTAATAAATAAAGACTGCCTAAAGATCTGAGAGTAAAACAGTCCCACTGGTCAGCCTTATAGACCAGGTTATGGTAACACACACCTTTAGTCCCAGTAGCCACACTAGTTGCCATAGGGTGGTGCATGCCTTTGATCCCAGCCCTAGAGAAGGCTATAAAATGGGGGTGAGGAGGGGAGATGGCAGAGACAGCTCTCACACAGTCTCATGCTGAGATTCTAGGAGGCAGGATCACCATTTCAGACTAAGGTTGAGGTAAGAGCCAGTGACTGGCTGTTTTGCTTTTCAGATCTTCAGGTTGAACCCCAATTTCTGACCCTGAGTTTTTATTAATCTTGCATCAACTGTATATATTACAAATTGTCTACTTCTGTAGATTAATGTATTCAGTGTTTTACCTAATATTCTTAAGAGTTCGGTGGTGCCACCATCACTCCCGCACAGTGACTCACCACTGTTTATGTGAGTTCTTCTCTGTTCAGCCAGTCCTGGTTTGGAAGACTGTAACAAGTCTTCTGTCCCACCAGTCTGCTCCCAAATAGTGACGTGGGGACTTATTACAAAAGCTCGGCCTATAGCTTAGGCTTGTTCCTAACTAGCTCTTATAACTTAAAATTAACCCATTTATATTCATCTGTGTTCTCTCATGTAGCATTACCTCTCTTCCATCTTGTACCTTCTGTTTCCTCTCTGTGTCCCCTGCCTTCTGTGAGCCTAGATTCCTCCTCTTCCTTTCTCTCTCTAGAAACCGCACCTATACCTCCTGCCTAGTATTGGCTGTTCAGTCTTTTGTCACACCAGTCATAGCAAATACATCTTCACACAGTAAACAGATACCCACATCAGAAGACGTAGAAAGATCTTTGCAGCTGTAAGACTTTGTTGCAGTCTCATAAAGGCTGTTAATTCTCCCAAGCTTTTATATACATAATTCATCTGGACTTTATCTTGGTAGACTAAGAACCTAAACCTTTTCTAGAATTTACCCACAATATTAGGTTTTGGTTATTCCTTCAGATAATTTGTAGCAATGAGAAGGAAATGCTAGGGGTATGGAAGAGAGCCCACATTACCATTTCTATTCTTTTTACCCAGGGATTCATAACGTTTAGCTATTCATTTATTCATTTATTTATCTGTTTATGGCCACCACGAACGCAGTGCCACGTGTTAATGAAAAAGTTAACACAGCAGAAACGTGAAGGCAGCATCCTTTTCCAAAGCCTCTTTCTGTGTTGCCCCCGGTTACTCTCCTGAAGTCACTCTTAGAACACTCAGTACTTGTCAGTACTTAGTTCTAAAAAGACCTAGTGAGGCCTTCTTTCCTCTGACCTGTAGGTGGCAGACTTCCTCTCCTGTGATCCCCAAATTTGTCGTCAAGTTTAAAACGCCTAGAACGAAAGGAGACTGTTTCAGATGAGGGTAGCACCAGTCTGCAGGGCATTCACTAACCGGGGTCCTGTGGGCAGTTCTTTGTGCCCTGCTTGGTAGGCCTTCCTCTGCCGTTAGCAAGCGTTGGCTTGGGAAAGTGAATCGAGTTTCCTCAAACTCCCAGGCCTTGAAATGATAGTTGACCACATCATTCTTACTCTGACCTCCAGCTCTGATGCTGATATATAGCTTTTATAGTAAAGCTCATTTAAGGGAGTAAAACATAGAGCCTTTTTTTCCCCCTTAAATAACACTAGTCTTGAAAATGTGAGTGAGCTTAATGCTGTGAGATTTAGAGGTTAGGAACTGAGCTTGGGTTCTCTGGAAAAGCCAGAAGTACTCTTAACTGCAAAGCCGTGTCTTCCCCTCCAGCAGGCATTTGATAATTGCATGATGTATTCTTTTCTTTAAAATGGTCTCTTGTGTTAAATGGTTTTGCCTTCTGAGCATGGTTAGGAGAGCTCAGTTATGATGGTAAGCAGGTGAGATGTTTAAATGCACACAAAGCTTCCAGTTGCCATAGTTCATCGAGATATAGCTCATTGTGAGCTAAGGGCATCCGTACTGTGTAAAGAGCTAAACCTTATCCTTGGCTGTCGCCCACAGTAGCAAATAGCAGGAATATTTCCTAAGAGCAGAATGCCACCTCTGACGTCCACGTCTGTATGTGTCAATGTGAAGTTGTGCCTATTTGACCGCAACACATCATTCAGCCTATTTCAGACTATTCTGACATTTGTTTGCCTTTTCTGAATTTTTTTTCCATCTTGGTAATTGCATTAGAAAAATTTCCAGTGTATTTATCTGGTGTTCTGAAGAAAATTCTTTATACATGGTGCATGAATTAAAGAAAGCTAAGACGTTCCTGACCTATTAGCAGTACTGAGCAGTGTGGTTTGGGTAGAACTGTTTCCTATGCTGACCTCTTGAGTAGGAGGTGGGGAAAAGCTATTTCCCAATATGTTTCCACTTCGGAATAAATGTCATATTAGACCTAAGACAAGCTAGGTGTAATAGTACAATTCCAGCCCTCGGGAGACTGAGGCAGGAGGATCACATGGGATACATGGAAAGATCTTGTCTCCAAGGGGGGAAAAGGGGACAAATGTAGATATAATACATTTTTCCTTTATCTCTTGCTTGAGTAAAATAACCACAGATTTCCTAACATGTTTCAGGAGAATAAGGATCTGGTGGGGCATCTGTCCAACTTCAGAACCCAGACCCAGAGCCTGACTCTTGAGCCGGAGCCTCTTGGGCAGCCAGGATTTCTGCAGTAGCTTAGCCTGATTGTGCTGCAGGGTTACCTGCTTTTACAGCTGATCAGAGCCAATGACCTTTCTTATTCTAGGGAGGAAATACATACAGTTGATTTGGGGGTTTTGTTTTTGTTTGTTTTTAAGGCAGCATTGTGGGTATCCTAGGGTCTTCACATTTGATGAAGGGGTAAGGATGAAGAGACCTTACGCCGGTCTCACGTCTTCACCTTGCACGTGCTGGGAGTGTAGGTGTGCACCACTATGTCCACTTTGTGCTGTCCTGGACATGGAACCCAGAGCCGCGTACATGCCAGATAAGAGCTCTGCCAGCTGAGCCACATCCCCAGCCTCACAGAAATAGTTTGTTCTCTCCGTGGCTACTACTAGTGTGTAACAAAAGGAATAAAAAAGCATACAAACAAACAAACAAACTAATAACAAAACAAAACCAGAAAACTCCTGGCATTGCATTGGGAGTGCAGTTAGGAAAGCCTTCACTGAGCTCCGTGGGCTTCCTTTGAAACAGGTTGGCGCTGAGAGCATGTGGAGTGCACCAGCCTCAGGTTGGGCAAAACACCCAGAAGAGTGCCCAGTAATGATGGCCACGTGTTAATAAACGCCAGCTTCCAGGGGGTCAGAAGAGAGATGGGAGCATTCTAGGATTATATGCTAGATGTAGATGGGCTAAAAACCATTGAAATGAGCATTTAAGGTGGAGAATTTAATATATATATATTATATATATTTTATATATATATAAACTCACTAAGACCATTTTTATAATTTCTGAGCCAAAGGGCTAGACTCGGGGTTAACAGCTGTCTGGGGGGAGGAAGGAAACTAGGAAAACAAGACAAGTTCTAGGAGCTGCCTGTCAGACTTCTTACCTGGTGTGGGTACAAGATGAACTAGCTTTGTGGTCATTTTGCCCTACATATTCATGATTTGTGCTTTGGAAAGACAAGGAATGATTTAAAGAAATTCAACTTCCTCCTGATAATGAAGGAGAGACTGACCCAGATTCCACTTTAACATATAACACAGAAAGTTTCCTGAGAGATGATAGCAACTTTAGATAGTAGGTAACTGTAAACAGAGACCACACTTTCATGTCCTGGCCACCCAGACCGGAATAATTGCACAAAAACTATATTAATTAGAACGCTGCTTGGCTGATGGCTTGGGTATATTTCTAGCTAGCTGTTACATCTTAACCCATTTCTATTAGCCTATGTATTGCCATGTCACTGTGGTGTTACCTCATTTTCTACGTGTCTTGTTTCCCCCATAGCTTGCTGGCTGGCGTCTACTTGACTCTGCCTACTTTTTCTCTGTGTCTCTGCTCAGATTTCCCTTTTGGCTTTACTCAGCTAAGCTATTGGTCAAAACAGCTTTATGCATTAGCCAGTAAAAGCAACACATATACAGAAGGACATCTCATATCATTTCCCTTTTTCTGTCTAAATAAAAGGGAACGTTTTAATTTTAACATAGTAAAATTGCATATAACAAAATGGTTATCAAGCAAGAATTACAGTAACAATATTTAGTCTGTTTTAGGCAGAAATTAAAGAAAATATTCTATCATCTATCTTTGTGAGTCTAAAGTTTCGTATCTAATTTATTTTTTTATTATAGCTAAGGAAAACTATAACTGTCTAATCTTCAACTTCATCAAAGACTCCAAAAGGATATAATATTACCTAAGTAAACAGGCAGTGCATTGTAAGCAACTTCCACAGTTCTTGAATTGACAGAGACATCTTGTTGCCAGTCACTCAAAGTATTTTTGTAATGTTTGGGCATCCATCTTCAGCCTATAGCCCCATAATATCTGGGTGACTTTTCAGTGAGGCAGGAAATTTGAAGATCTGTTTGGTCTTGTATTGGCAGAGTTCATGAGCTGCTTTCTTCTGTGTCCTGCAGAATGTCTGGCAGTTTCTTCTGTGAAGCAGGAACCCTAAAGGAACATCCTGGTGTTTGGAAAGTTCTGTAGTTACTTTTCTGTTGGTCTTGCATGTCCAGTTCATACAGCACACCATTAAGCAGTCTAGACAAGAGCAATTTCTTGCCCAAATGGCAAGCCTTGTCACATTGAAGGCAAATTCCATAACAAGTTTCTTCAGTGCCCAGCGACCTCTCTGAAAACTGTTGCTGCTAGAAGCAGACATGTCTCACTGTCGAGAAAAGTCGAAGTTTTTAAAACCTTTAAATGCCATGTTTTGTAGGTCTTTGAAGTGTTGAAGATTATCTATCTAACTGAAATATATCTGTATATCTAGAAAACCTAATGTAACTAAAAGTTTGATTATTATAGATGGTTATAACTCTGTATTTTAATTATATATTACATTTTTAAATGAACTGTATAATCATAATACCTTAAACAAGAGTAGAAATATACATATAACAAAATTGACCATAAATTTGTATCAATAAACCAAAGTTCTTACCAATGTAAAATATTCATTTCTGTATCATATGCCCCACCTTTTGTAGAAAGAGATTGACTATGACTATTAACCATTTACACCCAACCCCTTTTAAATGAAAATAAACATTTATAAACAATCATTTTGGGAATTTGAGCATAGTTTTCTCCCAACTGCTTTCTGTTGTTTGTTGCATGAAGTATTTTTAAGGTTCACAGAGACCTTTGAGGGGGGTATTTTTCCATCAAACCACATTAGCCTGAAAGGAATCCACAGGTTTCCATCTTCTGTGGAAAGTAGACCCTCTTTCCCAAAGTAACGCATCCTTAGGCTCAAATTTTGAAATCAAGATACCTTTTAAATATGTATTTTGGTTTAGCTTAGCAGCCCCCAGAATCAAATGTCTCCCTACAGTCAAAAAAATTCAAAGGAAACACAATAACATACAGTATCCAGATTCTCTGATTTTTTTCCCTCTTTCCATGGCTTTTTTTTAACTATTTTATTTTTATTTTTTAATTTTTGGTTTTTTGAGACAGG